CAGAGATGTCATATGCAGGATCCATTTTTTCAAGCTGAAAGATGACATCATGAGAGCAGCCCGCACTCAAGACGCCATTATGTTCAACAACGCCCCAATACTCCACCTGCCGGACCTCTCAGGGCACATACTCACCTTACGCAGGGCTCTGCATCCTCTACTCGACCTGCTCCGCCATCGCAACATCAAATACCGGTGGGTTTCCCTTTTCAACTCATTGTGCTACATGAGGGCAAACCAGCTGTCTTTCCCTCTCTGAGCGACCTTCCGTCCTTTTTGGGCAAGCTGGAGCTCCCTCAAGTTTCTCTCCCGGACTGGCCACTCAAGCCAACCCTGCCCGGCTTTGTAGCACCCTCCCCCTGGCTACAGAAATTGAAAAAGGCTGCAGGGCGTGCGGACACCTCGTCTCCTCCCAACACCTGACTTTGGAACATTTGCACCATGTTTTGCTCCAACCTATGTACCACCGAAGAGACTCCTTCTGTGACGGCTGAGGGGCTCCTGCCGTCCACAGATTGAGGACATGTGGTGCAGTGCTCCCCAACCTTTTTATCGCCGCGGACCGGTCAACGTTTGATCATTTTACCGCGGCCCGCTGAGGGGGGGACGTTGATTGTTTATATTTTAGATTGGAATCACCTGTCCCGATAAATCCATATTTCAAGTAGGACTCATGGTATTGTCTGTTAAAAGTTACATGTTTCTTTGATGTTGAAGGCCCTTCTTCTGTCTCTTCACTGGGCCTTTTCTTTTTCCCAAGGAAACTTTCTAACGACGTCTGTTTCGTACTCATTTTTGCTAGTTTGAGCAAACACAATATACACACGTACACCATGCACTGTTAAACATGAGAAAGTACCGGTGAACAGAGAGAAGAGCGATACACACCTTCTCTTTACCAAAGCTACAACGCCTCTGCCGCTTGCAGCCGCTCAGCTCCAGACGTCACCTAAAACCGCCCCGATATCACGATATTTTGCGCATGCGCGGTATTGGTGTGGCTTTAGGTGACGTCTCTCAGCTCCCGGTTAACCTCTCGTCCTGGAAAGTCGGACAAAACAGAGAGAAATGCACCACAGTAAATAAAATGGAAATAATTTAATGTTCCTTGGGCGGCCCAGTACCATTTGATCCACGGACCGGTACCGGTCCGCGGGCCCGGGGGTTGGGGACCACTGATGTGGTGCACCTGAAAAGTTGTCGGCGGCTGCTGACCACGAATGCTGCTGTCCATTATACTGTTATGTCATGTTTTTATCGTTATTTACTTCATATGTACTGTTATATATGCCCTTTTTGATACTTTTATACGTAGCCTTTAGTTACTGTGTTTATACTGATTACATATGCCCTGGAGCGGGAGACGTTCCATGGGCCTGCCATGTTACTCCAACTTAGAAACATAGCCAAATACTATATCATTTTCATAAAAAGAAGGTAGGTGTCTTGTTCTTGCAGGAAACTCACTTTCACAGCAATGCCATTCCTGGAATACCATCAAAATTCTATTCCGAATGGTACCATGGCACGAATTCCAGTGCACGCTCTAGGGGTCTCTATAGCCTTCCATAAGACTTTGCACCCAGAGTTCCTGCAACAGCAAACAGACCCGCTAGGTAGATTTATTTTCCTGAAGGTGAAACTCTTTGGCCGTGTTTACACCCTTGCTAACGTCTACTTTCCCAACCAGGACCAGCTAAACTTCCTTGCGCGCCTGGTCAAGTCTCTGGAGAATTTTGGATGTCCAAACCTGATCTTGGGTGGAGACTTCAATCTAGCAATGGTGCCCTGTCTGGACTCCTCCTCTGGTAAGTCCCCTTTTTCTCATACATCCCTAACTAAATAAAAAAATCTGCTATACAAGCTCCGACTGGTGGATGTGTGGCGAGCCCTTCATGCCTCCGAAAAAGATTATACATTTTTCTCCCCAGCTCACAATGCCTACAGTAGATTAGACTATTTCTTCCTCGCACAGCACTTGCTTGACATGACCCCTACCACCCACATAGGACTGCGTATCTGGTCTGATCATGCCCCTGTCTTCCTAAAGGTGCCCATACACTGTACGATTCTCGTACGAGAATCGCGGGAAATCCCGCGATCGTACGAGAATCGTACAGTGTATGGAAGGCGTGCAACCGTTTCTACTGTACGGTCGCACGTCTTCCATCGAACAAGCAGGCTGGAAAACCCGCCGGGAATCGTACGATTCTCGGCGAGTGAGTGGCCTGCTGGTTCGACAACTGACGAACGGGCCGGTGTGCGCACGCACACACTGCCCGTTTGCCGCCCTTGCAAGCCCGCCCCTCATTGCAGTTATCGCAAGCCCGCCCCTCAAGGGGGCGAGCTTGTGCCTGTCCAAGATGGGCAGATCGTACGTTTTTTTAAGTACTTTACAACCACCGCAAGACTAAGGTCTTGCGATGGTTGTAAAGTGTATGGCCACCTTTAGTCTGGGAGTTCTGGGTGGCGACCATACCTGTACCGCCTGGCGCCTTAACGACAATTTATTGACCGACCCCCTGTGCCTAGATGAGATCAAGACCTCGGTGCGCAATTTTGTCTCTGACCATCTCAATGACGTCACACACCCGCTGACCCAATGGGAGGCGCTCAAATGTGTGCTGCGAGGCGTCTTCATCAAATATGGATCACGTCTCAAAAAAGTTAGATCCACACGCATTATTGAACTCTTGGCCTCTATTGCGGCACTTGAGGGGGTTCATAAATCCACCTGACTGGACACCACCTTTGTAGAACTTTCCAACACTAGGTGGGAGCTGTTGTCTATACTTGACACAAGGTCCTGCAATGCCAAAGACAAGGCTTGTAAACTGAGATACGAATCTGCTAACAAATGCGGCCGCCATTTGGCGAGAACATTACACCCTCGTCCCCCTAGGGCCTTTATTCCTTTTATCATGGACCGCAGCTCTATCAAAATTCAATCCACGAAGGGTATTGCCCAGGAATTCCGTCGCTACTATGCCAGTCTATACAACCTCCCTGATCCACCTTCCTCTCCGCAGGCCGGACAAACTCCCTGCTCCACGGAGCAATATATTGCACATACGGCTCTGCCGACCATTGATCGTGCTGAGTTAGAGGGGCTAGAGTCCCCGTTTTCCCCTTCCGAGGTAGCAGCGGCGATCCGGAATCTCAAAACGGGGAAATGTGCGGGTCCGGTTGGCTACTCACCCCGATTCTATAAAATCCTCTCGGACTTGCTATCCCCCATTATGACCCGCGCCTTTAACTCAGTGGACGACACACACCCCTTTCCCTCTACCATGCTAGCAGCTAATATTTGTGTTATCCCCAAGCCCGGGAAAGACACATCCCTTTGTCAGAATTTTAGACCGATATCACTACTTAACGTGGACATTAAACTGTTCTCCAAGTTATTAGCACTTCGCCTCTCCCCATCTCTACCGTCCATCATCAACCCGGAACAGGTCGGCTTTGTCCCTGGCCGAGAGGTGAGGGAGAATACCACTAAAACGATCAACCTGATCTCTCATATACATAGACACCAAAGCCTGCCTTCTGTCCATAGACGGCGAGAAGGCATTTGACCGCGTTAACTGGGAATTCCTTCGCCAGGCCCTACTCCAACTTGGATTGGGGCCTGCCATTCTATCCAAGATCATGTCACTTTACTCTTCCCCACGGCCCGGGTGATGGTGAATGGTTCGTTCTCAGAGCCGTTCTCCATCTCCAACGGCACTAGACAGGGGTGTCCTCTATCCCCGCTCCTCTATGTCGTGGTGATGGAGCACTTGGCACAAGCCATCCGGTTAAACCCTGATATTCATGGCATATCCACCCCCTCCTTTCACCATAAGATGCCTTTATTTGCAGACGACCTGTTATTATATATCACCCGTCCCCATGTCAGCATCCCGGCGATCCTCAGTGAATTTGTCAAATTTGGCAGACTAAGCAACTTCAAGGTTAATATGACTAAATCCACCGCTCTCAACCTCACGTTAACTCCCCCAAAAGTCTCCCTCCTCCGTAGGAATTATCCTTTCCAATGGCAACCCCGCTCCATCACATATCTGGGAGTCTCCATCCCGGCTAACCTAGCAGATCTGTTTCAACTAAACTACCAGCCTATCCTTAGCTCCTTACGTCAAACCTTCGAGACATATCACAATATGAAGATCTCGTGGTTCGGCAAACTTGATGCCCTAAAGATGGAGACAGTTCTTCAGTTCTCTATGCACCGTTTACCATTGGACCGTTTTGTGTGGCAGAAAGGCTATTCTCGTATACGGCACAAAACTCTGTGTAGACACATCCCAAGGTGGGGTAGGCCTCCCCGATTTCGAGTTATACCATCGAGCTGCTCTCCTCTCCAGAATTGTAGATTGGTTCCCGCCTCCTTCCTCAAAACCCACACCAACGGTGCTGATTGAACAGGAACTGTGCCCTATAGATTTGAGAGACCTTCGGTGGAGCTTACACGACGAAGCTGCTGCACTCCCTCGCCCTTCCCCTCTTACAGCTGCAACTTTAAAAACATGGTGGAGGACTTGTCACGCCTCTTCTCTCTCTACTATACCGGGGCCTCTATCACCTTTATTTGACAACCCCCTGTTCCCCACGGGGGTAGCTATCCCCTCGGTAGGGGGTTACAGGAGAATTGACTGGCCCACGGCTCAAGACTTTATACACCCCTCTACAGACCGCAATGTGCCGCCAACTGATAACATGGGGAACCCCCCGGTGAATTGACTGTTGGATCTGCAACTGTCAAGGATATGTTCCGCTTTATATGTTGGTGGGCAGACACACAGACCGCTAACGGCCTTTGAACTCATGCTTGTCTCTAAAGAAAGGGCTCGCCGATCTCGGTCGTTAATGGGATATTGAGAGATGTTCTCCATCAGGTGCCGCTTGGCTCGCAGGCCCATTGGCACGCTGACTTAAACAGGGACCTGTCGGAGACAGATTGGGCCACCATTTATTACTACACGCACAAATCATCTGTTTCCTCATATGCACAGGAAAAGAATTACAAAATTATTACTAGGTGGTACAGAGACCCGGTCTCCATACACCGGATCTTTCCTTCTTCTCCGGAGACTTGCTGGCGCTGCAATGAGGTAAGGAGGCACATACCTACACATTTGGTGGACATGTCCCTTAGTTCTCTCATTCTGGCAGAAGGTCTTTACGATTTATAATCGTTTATACGGGGACACCTTGGCACCTACGCCTACTATAGCCTTTTTGTAACTCCTACCGGGATCCTGGAAATCCAAAAAATCGATGATACTTGGGCACCTCCTGTCTGCTGCTCACCAGGTGATCCCCATGTACTGGAAAACGACGACTACCCCACCCCTCTCCAAATGGGTTAGCCTAGTTAATGATGTGATGCACATGGAGGAGCTCCTGGCGACAGATAATTACACTTTCCCCAAATTCATGTCGCAATGGAGTGTATGGATACATTTCTCCGCCTCGGCCGACCTCCAGTCCCTCCTCTAATCTCAATCTCCTGATAGGAGATGGGAGACATCTACCTCCGTAACATATCAGTAACTGCAGATTGATGGACCCCCCCCCTCACCCCCAACCCCAGTCTTACCTCCTGTATACTATTCTCCTCCTTCTACTCCTCACTCCCCGCTTTCTCTCTGTTTAATGCTTCTCTAATATAAATACAAGATCAGACGGTTCATGAGAAGACTGTACTGTATGATAATAATGTGGATAACTCCAGACGTCTCAGGCTCGGACAGACCTATAGTGAGTTCCTGGAAGTGTTTGTCCAGAATGATGTTCTCAGTTCTCGCACATGTTCTGTGTGACTTTGTTTTTTTACTTTATGCGAGTTACCCAACTGCAGCGAGTCCGGCACTAGACGGATGTCAACACCGTGCCACTGAGAGTTTTCCTCCCTCATATTGTTTCCCAATAATGTGACTTATGTTGCTTGAGTTATGTTGTGAATTGTCTAAATCTCCTTTTACAAAAGTTAATAAAAACTAATTCAACACTAACATTAAATAGCGTCCCCGCATCCAGTACAGTCCCCCAGGGCTCAGGTGAGGAATTAACTAATCCAGAGAGCTGCAGAAATGGGAGCCACAGTGGCTATATCACAGCTGTAAACTTGCTATTTACAGCTTTTTTTCCTGAAGGTATCTGCATATAACCCACATACTGTCCTGTGCTGTACAATTAAGCAAAGCCTTTGCTCTCCGAAAAGAGCATTAGAGCAAGACTACAGTTTGCCATTAAACATATAGGCAAAAACCAGGCCGTGTGGAACAATGTGCTGAAAACTGATCAATTAAAGAGTTTTTTTGGTCACAGCAACAGTAGACATGTTTACAGCAAACCAAATAGAGTATTTCAAGCATTTCCGGAGAAAAACATAATAAGAACTGTGAAGCATGGTGGTAAAAATATTCTGGTTTGGGGATGCTTTTTGTTTCTTCAGGACCTGGAAAACTCTCTGCTCTGGAACGCACCGCAATTGGTGTGAATGGGCCCTTAGTGTGAAAGTGCTGCCAAAACTGAATGTAACACATGTAATACAAAAATTAGGAACCATCACACAAACTGGGACACCACCCCTATCTATGCAATATATATCAAAAAAAGGAGGAAAGAGAAAGAAAGGGGCTTTGTGGTGACCACTGGAGAATAGCAGGGAATTGATCCAATAATAAAGTCAATTGATTCATATATATAATAAAATTCCATTTTTAATATACTCAATTCATAATGTCTATACATATAAATATGCTAAAATTCATCCATATAAAAAACCATAAATAGATGTATACACCATAAATAACCTCCCTGGAACCCACACAGAAACCATGATTATAAATTCATATATTGGTCATTGCCCTCATTGTATTCATATCTTATTTGCATGATTAATTGTACATAATTGTTCTATTTATCATTAGTTAAGCCATGATTCTGTGCTTGCTCCAGTCTTCAATGTGTTTCGCCGAGGCTTCGTCAGGAAGATTTGGAGAGGTTAACCTATAGTATTTGTATGGGTATGAGAATCAATTTGCAATAGTCTACATGATATTAGATATATCAGAATCATTAATATCTGCTGACCATATATCTTTATAATGCAGTAAATACCAACTTAATTATTCTTTTTCCGGTAATTGAATATCCATCTGCAGGGAGTCTCCCACTTTCCCCCTTTTTTTTGATATATATATTGAATGTAACACATATAGGTTCCTATTTACCGGTAGATGCACACCATCCAGTGCGTTCATCTCACAGTCCCGTGGCATGAACGAACTAGATCACTGAGGATCAGTTCACACCAGCTCCAGTGCATTCCAGCACGATTTGCTGCTGGAACACACTGGAGTGCATCCCAACAGGCTTACTGCGTTCGGGGCGGGAGGGGCGTGGTGTTGCATTGAACTCAGTGGGACCGCAGCCAAGTATACCACCCGCAGTGCGATCGCCCGAACCGGACACATGGCAAAACAGTGTCTGTGTTCCAGTTCAGTGCGATCTGAAAAAATGCTCCAAGCACTATTTTTTTAAAACAAACTCTGGATGCAGGAAGCTAGCCCGAATGTGCCCCAATGCATTGCAGCAACGAATAGTGCTGAAACGCACCGGAGCTTGTGTGACAGGGCCCTGAATCAGACTCTTCCTTTGTTCTGGGGCAGGAGGGGGCATGACGGTGCAATTGAAATGGCATGCATGATTTTTTGCAATTGCCTTCTCCCGCCCCCAGACATGGGGAGAGTCTGTGTGTCCAGTGTGTTAATGTCACAGGACTGTGGGATAAACACACTGGATTGTGACTGGGCCCTTAGTCATAAAGTATTGATTTGTATCTTTATATAATGTTTCAGGTGCCCAGTGTAGTGTAGAAGTATTGCAATAGAACAGTTCTGCGTTATTGCATTTTTACTACTGATCTGTGCGTCCTTTACTACTGATCTGTGCGTTCTTTACTGCCGATCTGTGCGTTATTTACTACCGATCTGTGCGTTATTTACTACCAATCTGTGCGTTATTTACTACCAATCTGTGCGTTATTTACTACCGATCTGTGCGTTATTTACTACCGATCTGTGCGTTATTTACTACTGATCTGTGCGTTCTTTACTACCGATCTGTGCGTTCTTTACACTGATCTTTGCATTCATCTTTACACTGAACTGTGCATTCTATACTCCTGAATTGTGCGTTCTATACTCCTGAACTGTGCGTACTTTACTACTAAAACACTTACAAATCTATTTACTAAAGGGTGAATTGGTAGGAGAATTGCAGTATAATTTCAAAATCTTGACCAATATAGACGATTTGAAAAGTGAGCTAAATGGGAGAATTTTTCTGGTTTGGCTATTGATTGGCAGAATTGAAGAATCTCTGTCAAAATAGCCAAGCCAAAAAAATTCTGCCATATAGCTCATTTTTCAAACCGCCTGATTTGTCTAGATTTTGTAATTCTCCTACCAATTCCCCTGCAATTCACCATTTAGTGAATAGAGCTGCTGTTTTGACAATAGTGTGGAGAAATGATTTCTGTAACACAAGAATGTATATGTGGGTGGGGCTTGTATATGGGCAGAGCACAAGGGGGCCCCCATCTCATATTGCCCGGGGGCCCTATGTGTTCTCAGTCCGCCCCTGATTGTTACAATTCTACGTGTGTGTGTGTGTGTGTATATATATACATCTATATATATAATGTGAAAACAGGACATTATGCATACTTACCAAGCAGAAATAATGGAACTCTGCCAGTATATTGAGCAACTTTTCCAAAGACTGCCGCACAAATTGAGTTGGTAACACCAAAACAGATAATTACAAAACCCACATATTTTAGTCCCAATATACAGGTCACATATGACTGGAAAGAAAAACAGTCTTCATTAGTAGTTTATATTTGAACGATTAAGTAAAATATTAGTATGTTTTTTAATACAAATTTCATAATTTTGTTTCACTTTTTAACACTTCAAACTCTGGGCATTAGTGCTCAGGCATGGGCACTGAACATGGCATTCAGTTTTCGATCAGAAGACAGAACATAACATATTTAAATCGTATATATGATACATTTTCCAACATGTAGAAAAAGCATCCCATATTTGCTCATGCTATCTGCCTGATTCAGACAAACAATGCTCCACCCAACATCTTTATTGTATTGTTACAACAATCCGTGCATGTACCTCATATTTTAGCTGCTTATACTACACAAGACTTCTCATTCTCAGGGTAGGCTGACCTTATCTGAAACAGTGTTAGCCATCCATGGTGAGGCAATTTCTTATCAGAAGAGTGGGAATGCCTAATAACCACACATGCGCTCAGCCTGCATAAGAACCCTCAATCACCTCCTCACCGACCATTGTAGTCAGTCGGTCAGAGGCACTGCAGCTCTGCGTGAATGTTTAAAAGGTCCTTGCTGCAGAGCATGTATATATGTACACATGCCAGGCATGTGCACAATACCTGTGCTCAAGCTGCCATTAGACAACGCAGATCATAGGCCTTGTGATCACTGTGATAGCCATGTTGGCTAGATGTTTAGATGAAGCACTGAGATCTCAAGGAATGTGTTTGGATGAAGCATTCTTGAGGCATACTGAAATAAAATGTTCTTGCTTGGAAGAACATTACATGTATGAATATGAATATAGTATGTATGTATGTATGTATGTATGTATGTGTATATATATATATATATATATATATATATATATA